GCGCGAGCTCACTGCAAGCACTGTGACCGTACGCACTATGGCGGCGGCGATAACTGCTGGTACACCTTCCCTGAGAAGGCCACACAGGAATGGCGTGACAAGAACGCCGACTACATCAAGACCAAGAAAGGCGGCGCCAACGCTGCCGCTGTGAAGGACAACTCATATTTTCAGCCTCACAACGGTCTCATGTTCTTTACAGCTCGTACAACCCCCGTAGTCGACATCAGCAACACGGTTTGCGAGCTTGCTGGACGCGGTGAGTACCAGAACCGTCTCATTCTCGACACTGGAGCCACCGATCACCTTTGCAACAACCACAGTAAGTTCACCAGCTTCGATCGAGGCAGCTATTACGCTGTTATCAACACCGGCGCTGGTCCAATTACAATCACACAGAAGGGCACTATCAAGGTAACAGTCCTCCGCTCCGACGGTACAAGCGAACAAGTCTCTTTCTCCAACGTGCTGTACGCGCCACAGATGTTCGTTTCTGTACTGTCACACTCAGTGCTGCGTGAGAAGAACCTTTACTATCACGGTTACGATCACAAGCTATACCTCCGCCGTGACAATTATGACACCGAAGTCGCTTACACACCAGAAGTCGACAAGATCCCTACCTTTCTCCTTGCTGGCGACGAGCTCCAGACCGCTCAGTCACTTGCTTTTGCAGCAGTCAACACTAAGACGCGTAACAGCATGCTAACACCAACTCGAGATATCTCACTTCGTGACCTCCATGACCTGTTTGGTCACGCTGGCGTCCGTACGCTTCGCCATTTGGTTGACAGCACCACTGGCCTGCGCCTTACGGATGTCAAGCCCTTCTCATGCGAAGCCTGCTTACTCGGTAACTCACAACAGCAAATCTCTCGCGTCAAGCCCAACCACTCCACCAAGTTCCTGCACCGAGTACACATCGACATTGTTGGTCCGATGACACCAACAGGACCTGGGGGTGAGAAGTATTGGATCATTTACACCGACGACTGTACTCGTTACAGGTGGATTGACATTACTGACGACAAGCAGAGCATCACGGGCAGGCTCTTCTCCTTCCTTGACCGAGCCAAAACCCAGTACGACGTTACTGTAGCCATCCTACACGTTGACAACGACACAGTGCTAGTCAATCAGCGTGCCTACGCCGACTTTGAGCGTCGCGGTACAGTCCTGGAGCTATCCACACCAAGGACACCTCACCAGAATGGTGTAGCCGAGTCCAGCAACCGCATCATTGAGTCGCGCACTCGTGCTATGGGCGTCGCTGCTCCTCACCTACCCAAGAACATGTGGCCGATGGCGGCACGTTACGCTGTCGAACTCGTCAACCACACTCCCAACGCGGCTCTGCCGGGCGGCAAGACTCCAGCACAACTACGCTTTGAGCACATGGGCGTGCCAAATCCGGTACCCAACCTACACTCATTCCGCACCTATGGTGAGACAGGCTACGTCCACAAGCCCGCACAAACCCGTATACAGAGCGCAAAATTCGATCCACGCGCCACCAAGATGTACTACGTGGGCCGTGAAGGCTCACGCATCTTCCTCATGTGGGACCCTGTCAGCAAGAAAGTGCACCGTACCAGCAGCGTACAGTGGGCATGTCACAGGCTCGCCACTATTGAGCGACCTTCAACAGACGACAATGAGAAGCAAGAAGTCTCAGTCCACATCCCGTTTCGTCCACTACAACCGCTTCCGCAGCCGCGACCCCACCGTCAAGAAGACGATGTGGGTGTCGATGGCATTGAACAAGGCAGCGGCTTCAACTTTGGTGGTCTCACCGAGGCCTCTAGCTTCGATTTTGACGCAAATATTGACAACCTCACAGTCCACGAACCAGACGACAATAGCCTTGAAGCGGTTGCCAACGCACGCGCTTCTCCTCCACACCCTAGCTATGAGTACGTCCCAGTTGAAGCCATCGCCAATGCCACACGTGGCGGTAACCAGGCAGCTCGCCGCGCAGAGATTGACGGCGACATCAATAATTGCAACATCCTCCACACAAGGCGAACCCGTAAGCCCGCACACCACCTCTACGTGGCCATTGCCCTTCACAACCCACACATCACGCCACAACTTGCTCGTTGTTTCGCCTCCGCCATAGTCAACGCGCCGACCACTACAAGAGTCGAGCTGCCGCCAGAGCCAACCTCACTGAAGCAGGCTCGTCAACACCTCTACAAGGACGGATGGATTGAAGCTGAAAGCGCGGAGTACCAGTCTCATGACGACAATGGTACTTGGGTCATTGTCGTAACTCTGCCGAGCGGTCACTGGGCATTGCCAACCAAGTGGGTGTACAAGTACAAGCTGTCCGACAGCGGCAAGCTTGAGCGACTAAAGGCACGCCTTGTGGTCTGCGGCAATCGTCAGGACGTCAACCTCTGGCGAGAGACCTATGCCGCTGTCGCGCGAGCCACTACACTGAAAGTGCTCCTAGCCATGGTTGCTGCCCTGGACCTGGAGTGCGACCAAGCTGACGTTATCACGGCTTTCCTCAACGGCAAACTCGACAAGGACGAAGTTGTGTACATTAGACTGCCAGACGGTCGCAAAGCACAACTCCAGAAGGCCTTGTACGGTCTCCGCCGCTCACCACGACTCTGGTATGAGGAGCTCTCTTGCTTTCTCAACACGATTGGCTTCACGCCACTAGAAGCTGACCCATGTGTCTTCAAGCACAACGACGGCAGCATCATCCTTGCGTACGTCGACGACATTGTCTTCATCACCAAGACTCGCCATCGCATGGAGGAGGTCAAGAAGCAAGTCTTCGACAAGTACAAGTGTTGAGACCTTGGCCCCATCTCCCATTACCTGGGCATCCGCATTCGTCGCGATAGAAAGCAGCGCTCCATTGAGCTCTCCATGGAGTCGTACATCGACAAGCTCGTCAGCGACTACAAGCGCGAAAACTCTGCAGCACGCCATACTCCCCTTGACGTCGCAGTACTCAAACTCAAGACGCGTCCCGCAGATGATCGTGCGCCTCTGCAACAGCTCCGCAACTACCAGACTATCATTGGTAAGTTGCTCTATCCAGCAACACAGCTACGGGCGGACATCTCCTTCCACATCGGCTTTCTCGCGCGCGCGATGAGTAACCCCACGCTGCTCCACTATGACTACGCTCTCCAGGTCATCGACTATCTCAAGACTTACAAGGACCTCGTCATGACGTACAAGGCTCCGCCTGGAGGCAAGAAGCTATCCATCGACATGTACGTCAAGTCCGCTCCCATTGACCTTGGTCTCCACGGCTACAGCGATGCCTCCTTTGCCGACAGAGAAGACCGGAAGTCCACGTCTGGCTACCTGTTCAAGCTCGCAGGTGGTACAGTGTGTCACAGGTCCACCAAGCAGAAGCTCGTCACGACCTCTACGACTGAGGCAGAGTACGTGGCTATGACCTTTGCAGCCAAAGAAGCTACATGGCTCCATCGGCTACTCCACCAGTTGGACTATAAGTCTGATGACACTCACCCAATCTTGCTGTACGGCGACAATGAGCCTTCCATCAAGCTCCTCCACAGCAACGGCCACCACGAGCGCACTAAGCATGTCGACATCTATTACCATTACATCAAGGAGCGAGTCCGCGATGGTCACCTCAAGGTTGAACACGTCCGCACAACAGCAATGGCCGCCGACGGTCTCACCAAGCCTCTCGATCGCGTAGCTCACGAGCGCTTCCTACACCACCTCGGCCTCGGCAAACCAACGATTGTCACCAACGGGCTGACTGGCAACAACAACAACAAGAACTAAATACAATGGAGGGGTATGGGCGACAACAGGCGCACAGGCATAATAGCATCCCGGAGCTTCAATTCACTCGCTGTGGGGGTGTGTCCGCACAGGCAGTGCTCTCATTAGTCAGCTCGTTTGATTAGCTCCCGCACTAGCGCACTGTAGATATCGCCCCGCTCTGATAGCTTCAATACAACAACGCCCTTATCACAAAATACTCCCTCATCAGTATACTACTCGTTATTTATCCTCCCCACAGTACTCAGATGCTTCAACCGCTTGACGTAGTGTGTTTTGGCCCGCTACAGTCAAACTACGAGAAAGCACTCACGAAACACATCCACCAAAGCCGCAGCCTGCTACCATTCAAGAAAGGCGACTTTTTTGGCCTATTTTGGGATGCCTGGGTGAACACGTTCAGTAGCGAGCTTATACTCAAGGCATTTGAGGCCACAGGCCTAGTGCCACTCAACCCCAACGTTATACTTGATAGGTTTGCCGCCAACAATCGCAACACCAAGCCCGCAGTACCAGTCAATAGCGGCAAGGACCTACGCAACACTGAGCGAGCGCTGAGAAATTCGGTGAAGGATTGGGATAGTAGTGATGCGCGGAAGGTCAGGGCTACGGTACACTACCTCTCAGCTGAAAATGAGATCCGTACTAGCAGGTTGTGCAAGAGATTCCTCATGTTTCACCATTTCAAGACCGAGGCGGATGTCGGCGTGGATTGTTTGGTGAGATCCACCGACTTTGTCTACAACGCAAAGTCGACAGCGGGGATTGATTGCGTTTACACATTCCTAACTTCTGCTCAACAGTGCAGATACCGGAGAAAAGGGAATGGCTATTTCCAAAAGCTGCTACCTCCGGTGGAGTTTACTTACTCGCAACCAATTCTCGATCCTGAACTCAAGGATGTAGATTCTTCAGTGCTGGAGAACGTCCCAGCTGGGCTCACTTCCCAGGGTGTTCAGTTTACAGATCTCTATAGCGAAGGCTCCCCCGGACTGCTAAGGGCGGGAGGATCGGCTTGGTACTTCAATCGAAACACGGCACCCATCAATACTGCACATGCCGAGGAGAGTTCGATTCAGAAGCCCATGTTCGATTCCCTAGAGGTCGTCCTTAATACGCCAAATGTGACTGCGAGCTCCCAATGGCGGCTCCTCGACGTCGCCGGTCATGGCCTGGTTTCCGTCTTCTACCAAGACGAAGACGCCGGAGTCGTTGGATTCTATGAAAACGATAAACAGAAAGGTTGGCTTCCATTTACGCCACTGAAAAACACGATAAGCCACCTTGATCTCTTTGACAGTCGAGTAAAACTCATTGACCTAGATGGTGATGGAGTTGCCGATGCGCTTATTCCCTCTGAGAATGTCTGGTATCCGTCACTCGGCGAAGACGGCTTTGGCCCTCCACAGTACTTTCCCACGTTTACAAATGAAGAGGAGGGCCCTACGCATTCACTCTTCACGCAACCAGAATTCACGCATTTCGCCGACATTAGCGGCGAGGGACTCCAAGACATCGTTCGCATATGCAACGAAGAAATCTGCTACTGGCCTAATCTGGGATTCGGTCACTTTGGTGCAAAGTCACCATGGATGGATCGCCCACCTTTGACTTCCCCCACGACTTTCGGCCAAATCGCATCATTCTTGCTGACATCGATGGTTCTGGAACGACAGATGTCATCTATCTGCACTCTGAGGGCGCCAAGGTGTTCTTCAATCAGTGCGGCAACGGCTGGAGCGATGCACTAGTGTTGGATTCATTGTCGCATGTAGACAGCAATGTTTCCGTCGAGGCCGTTGATTTGCTTGGCAATGGAACGACGTGCCTTGTCGTCTCATTGCCATTCAGTTCCGAGTCTATTGCGATGCGGTATCTGGACCTCATGAGCACTAAACCTCATCTCCTTACTCGGGTGGAGAATAATCTCGGTTCAGTGACAGAGGTGACATATGCCCCATCTACCAAGTTCTACCTCCAGGACAAGAGAGCGGGAAACCCGTGGGTTACGAGACTTCAGTTTCCGGTACACGTGGTAGAATCGGTGCGAACTTATGATCGGATAAGTAAATGCATGTTCGCTAGTAAATATGCGTATCATCATGGATACTACGATCCAGAAGATAGCGAGTTTCGCGGATTCGGCATGGTCGAGCAGTGGGATACCGCCGAGATTTCTGCACTCACTGGGAACGTCTCAGAAACTGACCGAGTGAATATATCACTCACTTCCGATCTTCCGCCCGTACACACAAAGACCTGGTTCCATCTCGGCGCATTCCTAGATCGCAACTCGGCGTCGCTGCACTATGAGCACGAGTATTTCCGTGACCCTTTGCTCAGCGAGGATGTTGCGCGCCAGTGGTTCCTGCCGGATACTGTGCTTTCTCCCGAGATTGGGCAAGAGGATGAGCATGATGCTTGTCGTGCCCTAAGGGGAAGGATGCTGCGGCAAGAAGTATATACCGATGACCCTCCATCCCCGTCGAGTACAAATGAGAATGAAGTAGATCTGTCACGTTTACCATACATTGTGACGGAGACCAACTTCAGCGTGAATATGATCCAACCTCGCTCCGACACCCAGAGCGCCATTGTACACGCGACAGTGCGCGAGACGATATCACATCAATACGAAAGGGGCAGCGTACCCCGCATAACTCATTCCATGGTCTTGAAGACGAACGAGTTTGGCCAAATTCTGAAACAAGTTACAGTAGGCTATGGAAGGAGTAAGCCAGACATGTCGCTGCCGGCCGATTGGGATGTAGAAGTGCAGCGGAAGACGTGTATTACATACTCGGAGAACATGGTGACGAATAAAATCGACGACGAGACGCTATACCCAGGATCTTACCGAGTTCCAGCGCAGTGCGAAACCAAGTCATTCGAGTTGACGGGATTTGAGCGTGGAGGTTCGGAATGGCCTCTTGTTTACGAGACATGGACGAAAGACGACTTTAGTTTTGTCAAGTCTGCCGCAGAAATCGGATTTGAAGAGGAACCTGATACGTCAGTGCCTCAGAAGCGCTTGTTAAAGCAATCTCGCACTCTGTTCCGGAGATTTGACCATACCGGAAACCTTCCTCTAACGGAGATGGATCACATGGCTCTTTCTGGGCAAAGCTATCAGCTTACTTTCACATCCAGCATCTTAGAGAAGTATCTCAAGAAGGACGGCCGCGCACTGATTCAAAATCTTCGGCCCTTGCTCACTGGGAAATCTACAGATGATGGCGGATACGTCATTAGTGCAGATCTAAAAACCTCGGGCATCTTTCTTCCTACAGACCCTGACGATTGCTATTGGATTCCATCTGGTGAGACGTTCTACTCTCTCGAAGCAGGTGATCCAACTGTAGAGCTTCAAGCCGCTCGCTCAAACTTCTATCTCCCAAGACGCTTTCGGAATTCTTTTGGCGCCGAAAGCACTGTCACATATGACGACTATGACCTTCTCGTCGTGGACACGATAGACTCCATTGGCAACAGGAAGACAATTGGTGAGAGAGACTCAACTGGGACTATTCTGTCAAACGGAAATGACTATCGCGTGCTTCAGCCGCGTCTGATGACGGATGCAAATCGTAATCGAAATGAAGTTGCTTATGATACCTTGGGTCTTGCGGTTGGGACTGCCATAGAAGGGAAGCGGGGCGACACACCCCAAGTTGGGGACAGTCTTGTACGCTTCGACGCTGATGTTGAAGAGGAATTGACTCCAGAGTACATTCAAGGCATATTTGCTGACCCTCATTCGGTACTTAAGGGAGCCACATCGCAGATCCTCTACGATGCGTTTGCCTATATGCGTACAAAGGACTCGCAATCTCCCCAGCCAGCCATAACGTATACGCTGAGCCGTACGACTCACGAGTCGGATCTCAGCGGCGATGAGAAGATGGAGGTCCATCACGCATACACATACTCCGATGGATTTGGGAGACAGATTCAACAGAAGATCCTCGCCAAACCTGGCCCCGTTCTTAAGCGGGATACCAACAGTAAGATTGTATTGAAACGAGATTCCGATGGACATGAACGGCCTATGTTGACGGATTATGACGTTGAACCGCGTTGGATTTCGGACGGCTGGATCGTTTACAATGCAAAGGTCTGCCCATACGGCAGTACGAACCTTTCTTCACTGAGCTGTACAACTTCGAGTTCGATGTTCGTGCGGGAGTCAGCCCGGTCATTTTCTACGACGCACTCGGGAGGGTGATTGCAACCCTGTATTCGAACTCGACGTACACAAAACAGACATTTGATCCCTGGAGTTCTACAGTGTGGGACAGCAACGACACGGTGGAACTAGATCCACGGGAAGATCCTGACGTGAAGAGGTACTTGAAGAGCTATTTCGCTGACGAGGTCATGGCGGGCCGCGAGTTCAAGACGTGGCTGCAGAGGAGGCAGACGGGAGGCATGGGTACTGAGGAGAAGACCGTCGCCGAGAAAACTCTTGCGCACGCGGAGACACCAAGAGTTACCTACCTCGACAGTCTCGGCCGCGCATTTCTAGCAATGTCGCATAACAAGGTGGCCGCTGAAGACTATCAGCTCAATGGTACTGAAAAGAAGCTGTATACGCGCACTGAAATGGACATTACTGGAAACATACTCGCAGTTCGCGACGCAATGAAACAGGACGGAGATGACAGAGGCCGTGTCGTTACCCAGTGCCAGTACGACATGCTCGGTCGGCCCTTGCATACCATATCTATGGAAAAAGGACAGTCCTTCATTTTAGTCAATGTGCTCAATCAGCCGATGCGTGCGTGGAACAATAGAGGGCACATTGTTCGATCGAGCTACGATCAGGTGAACAGGCTCGTGCGTATTTTTGTGCTCGGAGATGCACTGAACATTGATGGGTCTGACCAGGAGATTCAAGTCCATAGGACTATATACGGAGAAAGCCATCCAGAAGCGGAGGCGCGTAATCTTCGCGGGACCGTGTATATGATGCTAGACCAGGCCATGGCGTCGACAACGGAGCGCATCGACTTCAAAGGGAATACGCTTGAGACGACACAAAGAGTGTGCCGTGAGTACAAGAATACTGTTAATTGGGCGGTAGTGGAGAGTATTCTCTCCAATGATCCAAGAACACTTTTCGATGCAGCTGCTCTCAGAGCAGTCCTCGATACAAAACTCGAAAGCGATATATATCGAGCTTCTTCGACGTTTGATGCGCTCAACCGACTCCTCACCTCACAGCTACCATGCTCGGCGCGAGGTGCACAGAGTAGGCTTCGTCTCGGATACAAGAACCTTTCTCTGGTCACAATCGACTACAATGTTCGGGATGACTCGGCCTCTGACGAACTCGTTTGGGTCCGTTTCGTCAAGAATTTGGACTACAATGCCATGGGGAAGCGAATCCTTGTAGATTACGGCAACGGGGTGCGAACAATTTCAGAGTTTGACCTGGAAACTGAGGCTTTGAAACGACTGAGCACTTGGCGTAATGTCGATGTGCCAAATCGTGTACGAGACTTGCTGCAGGATATAAATTACACATATGATCCTATGGGCCACGTCACACACGTATCCGACGACGCGCAAGAAACCAATTTCTTCCGCAACGTCATTGCTAGCTCCGTCAACGCGTACACCTACGACGCGCTGTACCAGATGATCGACGCAACAGGCCGCGAGCATCTCGGTCAACCTCCTGGACCACCGCTGCCATACACTAGCTCCGACTCCAAGCGGTTCGGTGCATACCCCGGGGATGCTGGGGCTATGGGGCTATATACTGAACGTTATGTTTACGATGATACGGCGAACATGATTGAAATGAAGCATGATAGCTCGGATACGAGAGTCGATGTGGCTTCGAGGACTTGGACGAGGAGTTTTACGTACCAAGAGTCGAGTTTGACGTAATCCAACAAGACTTGGAACCGACTCAGCTACTCGGCTGTCGGTCGAGAGACGAACAACTTTGTGTATGATGAGCACGGAAACACGGTGTATATGCCACACTTGGTGGCTCGCCAGCAACAGGGAATGTGAAGTGGGACTATCTCGACCAGATGAAGGAACTGGATCTCGGTGGCGGCGGGACAGCATACTACACCTACGACTCGACAGGCCAGCGCATTCGAAAGGTCATTGAGAAGGGACCGAACCTCACTGAAGAGCGTCTCTACTTGGGATCCGTCGAGTTCTTCCGCAAGAAGTCTGCATCCGCGTCCTTCGAACGAGAGACGCTACACATCCTCGACAACATGAAGAGAATCCCTCTAGTAGAAACGCGAGTAGAAGACACAGCTGGTACCGACCGCGCTCCACCGCAACTAATCCGCTACCAAATTTCGACAGCCAACGGCTCCAGCGTCATCGAGCTCGATGATGAAGCCAAGACCCTTTCATACGAGGAGTATTCACCCTATGGAAGCACAACCTATCAAGCCTCTATACCCACCCTCGAAACACCAAAACGCTACCGCTTCACCTCCAAAGAACTTGACGAAGAGAGCGGCCACTCCTACCACGGAGCACGCTGCTATGCGCCCTGGTTAGCCCGTTGGATCAACGTGGATCCTATCGGCACCGGAGACGGGTTGAATGTGTACCTGTACTGCCACGCAAACCCCATCGGACGCATCGACCCAACCGGAAATGCAGATATTCCTGACGAGTCCTTTGCTAGCTTTGATCCGTTGATGAGCTCGATTGATAACAGCGATTTTGGAAAGTCACTTATTACGCCCCGGCCTGCGCTCACGCCGTTGGCAACGCCAATGTCAAAACAGCAAGCGCGAGACTATGGAAACACGCAAGCAGCACGGCAGCGCGCCTAACCTGCGCCCGAGACGACATACATGACCAGCAAAACACCAGCTCCCATGGCAGATCCCGGTGTGCAAGCCGGGCACACAGTCACGACGCGCCACGCCGCCGAGTCCGGGATCAGCCCAGCAGACTGGGATAACCAGGAATTCCAGCGACTGCAGAGTCAGAAAGGTCAGGGGTTGGATGTGGCAATCATGTCGCAAGACGGGTCCATCAAAGTCACGACGCGGCACCGAGCACAGGACTACTCGATGATTGATCCCGCCATTGAAGACGTGAAGAAGGCCAACAACATGAAATTGACGCCCACCGCACAGATGGAGGTTGGCGAGTACACCACATGGCGCAGCGCAAACACGCCGTTGGACCAGGGCGGCGTCGAGATGCTGCAAAAGCTCGGGGCTGACGGAGCGCCGAAATGTGCGTGGATCGATCCAACGATTACTAAGGAGATGAAGGCTGCAGCCAAGGAGGGCGACTTGTTTGCCATGGCCGCGAAGCAGACCAAAAAAGCCGGCAAAGGAGCCAAAGTGTTGCAGTAAATGCAATAAGTGAAGGTGTAACCGCGCAGGGCAGTAAGTCAGGGGTAACCGCGCGAAGCAGTAAAATCAGTATATTATGTTGTGTTGTTCTTCAGTGTTCTGTCTCCCTCACTCGACCCCCAGCGGGGTCTGTTTACATGACGTATCTGTCGTGCAGACAGAAAGTGCTATTGGAACAGGCAAGAGCACTGCACCAGCACACGTGGCAGACATGACCGCTTTACTCCATAAACCGTCACACAAAGCCCTGAAATTGCTTGGAAAAGGCGGGAAGAAACTCATCGCAGCGGTTCCGTTTGTCGGCGCCGTGATTGGACATGCGTCTGCCGCCGAGGCAGCCATGTCGGGAGACATCAAGGGCGCGGCGCTCGACGAGTTTGGAAATGTGCCTGTTGCCGGGAATTTGCTGGACGCGGCACGCGGTGGCATGGATATCGGAGAGGCGCTGGACGTGTGGTTGGGCATTAGTGATGTTGCTGCAGGGCATGGAGATAAAGTTAGGGAGAATGCAAAGAGTATTGGGTTTAGTGAGGATACAGCGTTCTACATTGGGGCGGGAGGTGCGGCCTTGAGTGCGGTTACTGTTGCGCCGAGGATTGCGTTTGAGAACACGGTTAAGGAGTGGTGGGGCGGGCGTAAATGAAGTGAGAAGTGAAGGGATGGCCTGGATAACTGCAGAAGTCATAATTTGAAGGTAGGAAATGCAGGTAAGGTTAGGAAATTGAAGGAATAGGTTTTTGAGTTTAAGGGACCATACTATAAAGCAAGCAAGTGCAAGTCAAACAACCCACTTCTTCAGTTCTCAATCTGAGCTGTGGCTGTTGAGTTATTTGTGTTGGAAGGCGGGTGTTGTGGTGGAGTGAGTCCAAGGCCAGCAAGGTGTGCTTAGCAAGGTGCTATGCCGCATTAATTTCTGTCTTGCACTAGTGACAGCAACTCCACTCTGAGCCTAAGAACAACAGCAATCGTGTTCAGTGCAATATGCCACCCAAGCCATGACACATCTTGAGCAGTAGCTGGTACAGCTGACAATGGGAAGGCTGGCGATGGAGAACGCAAAGGGCTACGGGACCGCAAAGAGTTGCTGTGACCTCGACCTTGATTTGCACTGAGGAGTGTAGCGTGATAGTAACGGACTTGGTTGATGACCAGGGTCATCCCTATAAGCGATAGCAAGGAATGGAGATGTGCTATGAGGCGTAGTTGGTGTGGCAGAAGCGGGTGACAATGGTCGGAGCGCAGTCAGTGGTGGAGTCAACGACACTTCTTTGCCATCCCTGCAGCGCGCGCGATGTTCACGCTGTATGGTATTATGGGTGCGCCTGGCGTCAGCCACACACTTTACTATATGATGTTTTGCGAGTCGCGTTGCGATTCAGCCAGAACAGAAATAACGCAAGTCAGTTACGCGGATCGCTATATCGTACTTTTTGATATAACCTTATACATCTGTTCGATCTCTCTCTTGGCTGCACACTCCTTTGAGGTGCTACATGAAACAATTGATCACTACGACGTTGAGCCCGAGGACACATACAACGTGGATGAGAAAGACTCCATGTTGGGAGCAATAGGCGGACAGAAAAGGGTCCTTAGTACAGTGAGAGACCGTTCAAGAGAGCGGTTCCGGAAGCAACTTTAGGACAATAATCGCAAGTGGATAAGCTTGTAGGCATGCGTTTGCGCTAATGGCGCAGCTCTCTTACCATACTCAATATATGCGACGGACCCCTAAAATCATACAAGATACCTGGGTAGAGTATATGAACTTTACTAGACACAGTGCTTCTTTGGGCTACCACAGAGTTGCTGGTCGAATAGCAGTCTCAGTCTTGCCTAGCTCCTGCAGGTATACCAGTGCGTCACAGCAGCCAAAGCTTGAAGGAAGCACCACCTGTTGCTTGAGGACGCTCACTCAACCGAAAGATTCTTGGCGTACTGTCATACAGACAGGATCGTATTAGCAGTCTATCCACCTCGCAGCACCCACACGCTGCAACCGCTCGACGTCGTGCTGTTCAGGCCACTCAGTACAGCGAACTTAAAGAAGCAACAACAACACCTGTGCAAGCATCAAGGCTCAGTGTGGATGAAGAAGAGCTACTCCTTCAGGCCACTCTAAGATGCTTGGGAGATAAGCTTTATTTCTAAAAAGAAAACACTGAGCTCCTCAAGGTCACGGGTGTGCCCCCTCTAAAACGCAAGGTTATACTCAAACGCTTCGCTAAGAACAGCTTCAACACCTCAAATAGTAGATCTTCTCGCGCGTATTACTACGGTATAGATAGTGTGAAATCTCTGCCACGCTAGGGTCATCTGGGGGATCGGGGATCGGGGGCGATCTTGGGCATTCCAGGGTCGGTCAGCGCGCCTGGCGCAGGGTTGCCCGTGACAAACGCCTTCGCCGCCAGAGGGTGGCACCCTCGAAGTTGCAATAAACAGATGGAGCGGTTTGTGAGTAAACCAACGCGGCCATCCGCAGCCACCCGCAGCCACGGAGCCTGTCGGTCTTCTTGTGATGCTCGAGCTTGTTGCTTAGAGACATCAATCCGTGCTCCTCTCGTAGGGGCCTGGCTTCCTCCTCAGCCTCCATCTGCGGAAGGGCGGTAGTCGCAGGATCATCCAGGATAAACTTGTCCCAGCTTGGTCCATCGCCCTTCTCGCGTTGAATGACGGGTATAGCACTGTTCACGCGCCAGGCCTTTCCGATTTTTCTTCTGGCAGACACCCCATCGTTGGAGGAAGCACAAGTGTGGAAATGTTGAGATTATTGAGCTGATTGGTCTTATCTTAAGAGCTATATCGGGAATCGATCGAGACTAGATAGTAGAAGGGAACGGCAGTGAAAGGGGTGGGGAAGCAAACTGAACTGACCGAATGAGCTGGACAATCAGTGCAGCGGACCGCTGACGAACAACAACAGATCATCACGGCTCTCTGCGGCACTGTATGTCACGGTACTGAGCTTGTATAGGACTATTACAAGGGCTATTACAAGGGCTATTACCAGTTCCACCTGAGTACCAATACTGAACCGGAACACCAGCCCAGGGCGCCCCGAGTAGCCAGGCGAACCTGCCGGCCCCTGGTCGGTTTTCAGGAGCACAGGCCGTCCACCGAAGAATATCTGCTCGAGGAGCTGCTTCCATCTCAAGCTCCTTGAGCTACGTCCTGTCAATCAGCTGACCTGTACCCGGTTGCTGTCTGTAGTGAATATACTGATTATGTGCACCTATCTCCCAAACCCGCCCGTACCGTGACACTGTGTCTCTAAAAAAAATGGTCCAGAAGCACATCCCAACTAACAGTTGTGTAGTCACAATGCAAACAGAAGTAGCCTGGCTCAGGTGACGCTAGGAACTCTAACGGAGAGCTTCCAGCCGGGAGCGGTTCGATGTTGGCATTGGTCTGCGATACGGAGAGGTCTTCGTACTTGGGGATGATGGTTTTGCAAAACAAATGACGGATGTTATGATGGTGGCGAAGGTGATGGTAGAGCGTCTTATACGGCACGACACTCCTGCATGGGTTGCATAACAGGTGGCTGAATTGCGGTAGGTGAGAGATGACGCTTGGGATTTCTTGCTCAGCGGGCTGTACAATGTTAGCATAGGGTGAAAGAAGGGAGAAAAAATGCTGCCGTAGCAGCGCTGTGTACCTGCCTAGTTCTCTGCTGGATCTCCAGTATGGACAGTCCGCGGAGAAGGCGCTTCTGAGAGGCGTGCCCTCTGCTGGATTGCTCGTGTGGACTATCCAATGGGAAATCGTAGAGGTAGCTTTTCTCTGCATGGCAGACAGGTAGACCGAGAGAGCTGCAGTCCTGTGCTGAGAGACGGCGATACTACGTGTAGTCCTAAAGGATGCATGTTGCGCTAGGGGCTAAGCTATGCCTACTTGGGTGTTCGAAAGGGGGAGGTTCTGGGCCAAGGCAGAAAGCGGGAACGGGAACAGGCCAAACCGTAGGAAAATCGCGAGTTGGGCCCTAACCGTTAGGTTCGTGTGGAGGTAGGAGAATTGCATTTGACTTGCACTCGCTTGCTCTACAATCTGGCGCCTCAAACTCAAAAATCTAATCCCACCAGTGACCCATGAAATTTCATAACCGTAACCGCATATCCTACCTTCAAATGCCGTATTGTATGATGTGATAAAGCGCTCGTTCCTGATTGGTGCTGCGTCATCGAGGGCAGAGAGCTCTCGGATCTCATCACGGTACTTAGATTTGAGTACCGAGAAGGGAGCAAGTCCTAGCGGCTGAAGCAGGTGTGAGACGCGCATGGGCTTGTAGGAGGACCGCAGGCTGAAAAAAAACGACCTGAGTTTCAGCGATGTGCATAATAGGGCCGCTCAGCCATGCTGTGGGACGAACGGAGGTGGACGGAGCCAAAGCGGGGAAGGTCTGCCCCGCTTCGGAAGAATACGCTGCAGTGCTCATGCACAATTGTTATTCAATACGTTGTAGCAACTGCGTAGGTAGACAAATAGAGTAAGGTACCTTTAGCTAGTAAGGAAAGTAATCAAAGGTAAAAGTTACTAGCAACACGCAACACATCAATATGTTAAGGAGCGTCCAGTCTGCCGTTATCCTACTTTCGCCCACCTATACCCTCCCTTACTCTTTTTGATGTATTTTCTCCATACCCATCTGCTACCACATTCCTGCTCATCTAACACTTTTTCCACTGCAACAACAACTTCATCTCAAACTTTGTATCCTGCGTATCAACGCCGAGATACGCAGCATCCTTACAGTCTATTTTCGCTTCAGAATTGACATTGAAGAGTGGACCTTCCTTGCCCTTGACACCGCACTTGGACCAGACCAGAGCATCCACACCAGTCTCCTGAATATAGTCGTCATTGAAAGGACCCTTGAATTTGCGGGAGCACTTCGCCTGGAAGAGTTGTCAGCATGCCCATAACTCATCTGCACTCGAGAAAGTGCATCGGATCAAGGAGTAAGATGAATGAACAAAGATTGACAAAGAGAACACAGGAGAACAACAGGAGACATAAAGAAGAGGCTGCTTACCTCGTCAACTTGTCCGCTGAAGAAGTATTTCGCACCTAGAGTGGCCTCGCAGTTCTTCGGGATCTTAGCTCCTCCACGGAGGATGGTAGAGGCTACAGTATATGACCATCCAGCAGGATAGTTCATCGTCATGCGCACGTTGCAGTTTTGACGCGCATCTTTGGGCTCGGCGTTGCCACCAGTCTGAGCGACATACTTGTCGAAGGATAGGGCGACGACTGTGCCATCCTCGCCAATGTCATAAGCAACCGATCCCGCAGGGCAGCCAGTACCTGCCCATGTCACTTCTGAACGGTATTAGTGAGTAATAAGAACATCATTCAACATGAAGCATACTTGTGACCTTGACCGTCGTTGGGTCAGGCCTGTCGCCACGTTCCACATTTTCGACGATAGGAGATGCGACCGCAACAGCAGCAAGGATGGCAGTGACAATGAAGAAACGCATACTGGAGGCTTTTTCGAAAAAGGGTAAGGTTTGAAATGGTGTTCTTTGAAGTTGGAAGGTTGGAGATGATGAAGGTCCACCCAAGTAGACGAGATCCACATCTTTATACTTCGAAGTTCCTTCAGTCTACAGAACGTTCCCTGGGCAGCTGAACATGGTCACACAATTCCCGTACTCTTCAACACCCCTTCGATCGAGCTCTGCTTTTTCACCAGCAAGATTCTGCACCAATCTTTCAAGCCGTCTTCCGCTAGCAAAGCTGAGGACTTCACTTAGCGAGCGTTCCCTGGGCAGCTGAACATGGTCACACAATCCCCGTATCCATCAACACCCCTTCGATCAAGCTCTGATTTTTCACCAGCAAGATTCTGCACCAATCTTTCAAGCCGTCTTCCGCTAGCAAAGCTGAGGGCTCTACTTAGCGAACGTTCCCTGGGCAGCTGAATATGGTCACACAATCCCCGTATCCATCAACACCCCTTCGATCGAGCTCTGCTTTTTCACCAGCAAGATTCTGCACCAATCTTTCAAGCCGTCTTCCGCTAGCAAAGCTGAGGGCTTTACTTAGCGAACGTTTCGGCCTAACCATAGTGTTCTCTTCAGGAACTGTAGGCATGTGGACTTCGAGTATGCACGGTCAGCTGAATGGCGAGACAGCCTTCGTAAGTTTCATGAAGTGGTACGGCAGGAAGATTGATCTTCAGCATGTAGTATATAGAACAAACGAGAGGTGATACTGAGCGATTGGCCACCGTTGTCCATAGTGAATGAGCGCGTGTCTCAATGTGCCTTAAAATAGTCCCCTCAACATAGCTGAGAGAAGGTTGTGCTTGACGGTCTGCTAGAGTGGACAGGCAATTTTTGCAGGGATAGTTGGGTTGCTAAGTCTGGCTAGTACACAATAAATCCACTTCGCGGGCCTGTGAGGTCTGGCTAATTTGCATTTGTTCTCGTTTGTCACCGCTTCCACAGTCCCACTAACTGAGTGCAAAGCAGATGCGTTTGTCATATGTGAATCATCTTGGAATGTATACGCATCCCAGCGCAATGAACCGCATTCAGAAATCAAGGAGTATCTCGTATGTGCTTGCGCGGTACAACATCTCAATTGAAGTCCTCACCTCTGTCATACCCAGGTAGTGCTTCAAGAAAATCGACTGCACTCTTAGTGTCCCACTGTTGGGCTGTCAGTGAAGATTGTCACGAGGGCGACGGCCACAGGACCAAGGAAGCAGCTTCGTGCAATAATGCAACATGCGTTAGCGACCATCAATCTAAGTTTTTGCTTTCCCCGCTTCAGAACGTGTCTGGCCGTCGCAGTTCATGATATCTGTTACTTCGACCCCCTGCATAGCTAGTAGACACAGGTAAAGCAAGCGCAACGTGGTAGGTAAGAATGGCTGTTGCTCCCTCAGCATTAAAGCGGATCGCTAAGTACTGCCTGAAGCAGTGTGATTTCTACACACTCAAGCTGTCTATTGGAAGTAGGCCCCTGCATGGTGGCCTAACAAATCTGGACAGTACATCCAGGAGCCCCTAGATCGTCAGGTACCTGACAACATCCTAACATGTGATAAGTGAACAGACATAGTTTGCTTGAAGGTATGCAATTTCGCAGCACTGGATCCTGCACACTCTTGCTGCACGATATCAACAATACAGTCAAGGACACATTCTCCGAACCCAATGGTCATGCATGTTTAGGATAAAGAAGAGAGCTTGACACTTGCCTTGAGAGTATTGATGAACCCACCTAAAAACTCGGTGGAAAGACTCACTAAGCAGGGTTCCAGCAAGGATTTCTGGGCTGGACAAGAGAAGCTATGAGGAAACAGCCGTGGATAGGTCTCAAGAGCTCGCCTAATCAACCAATAAGCTGGGACTTAGAGCTGAGTGGCGTACTAATCCCCGAGAACCAACCCGAATCTTCTTACGTGTCTGTGGTAGCAGGTATAGGTAGTGTTGCTGGCCCGTGCAGTGACTGATAAGCAAACCCCACTTAATTTATATCTTAAAGCAGTGCAAAAGGTGTGCAGCGTTGCCTGGCTTATCTCGCGATCCAGTTCCACGACGAAGAGGATGCGAGCGGCGTAATCAACAGACGGGTCGAGAGATACGAACTGGCCGCGTCGGCATTTTGCTAAGAATAGAAGGCGTTGGGGTTAGGCTGCCGTAAAGTGATTGGGGGAAGCAAGGGTGGGTCCTAAACTTAGCTCCGTGCGCCCGCGCATCCGCCATTGTAATGATTGCCAAATTGTATGGACCCCTGAATTTGGGACCGTGGTGCAGACAGTACATGTGCACCGTGGTTTTGCTGTGCGGACAAGTTTATGAGTGGTCACTGTCCACGTGTATGCCCTGCAGTAGGTCTCCCAGCGTATCACGTCTGTCGAACCAAAGACATACAGCCACTCGGAAGCTCTCGCTTCTGTATGACGTAGAGAACATGGGCTAGTGTGCCAAACTTAGGGGGGTCCGTACATTTTGACAAGCACCGATAGCCCCAGACAGCAGCTGAGACCCCGTTGTGATGATGCCGTAGTGGAAGATAGTTTCGCTTATGCAACAAACGTTCATAACAATCTACCGCGAATGAAACGAAGCCGGCACAGAGTCCGGTCGAGAATTGGCGCATGCAGTGATCCTAGCCCGCAATGGCTCTTTGTGGTCGCCATAGTTGCCAGCATTATGGAGCTTGTAGTTTTCACCTTCAAACTAGTTGCCCGCCTTAACGATATTCAATCAGGCACAAGGGACATTTCTAAGCGGCTGAGCCATTTGGATCGTTGTACTCGGCGTTCTGTAAGTCTCCCAGGTCTGCTTCAGGTGGCGTTGGGAAGAAGACGCCCCGAAAAAGCTCGGCTTTGTCTGCTGGTTCTACCAGTTCGGATTGAGTGTCTGGGTGTCGTATGGCTGGTGTGGCCCTGAGCGGCTGATTTCGTCTTGTCCTCGCCCACTTTACTAGCTTCCACAGCGCTTCTGGCAATTCTGCTACCTTCTCTAAACGGTCTCTGTGTGCCTCCCGCAGTGGCTTGCTAGTTGTCCTTATTTTGCGGTTCCTCGCCGCACGGTAGGCTTCTCAGGGCTCTTCCGTATGGCGCCGGCTGTGCACCTTTTTGAGTCATTTTGTCTCAACTAGCACTGCCCTACACTCTTCGGTCCAGCCATCCCGAGCGTGAGAGGAAGTGCGAGCCTAAGGTACTGCTCTGCCGATTGCGTCTTGCATCGCTGCTGCCACCTCTTCCACATGTGTTTAACGCTGCCTTTGTCAATGGTCTTCGGAGTGGAGGGAGAGCGTCCCTCAGCGCTTCTCTATACGTTTTCTCATTCAGTTTTCTTGTGCCTGTTTCGGTGTTCTCTCAAGTCAGTGCACTGTCGGGTCAAGCACTGTGCTTATGGGCAGATAATTCGAGTCATGGTCGAGGTTTCTGTCCACTTCGCTCTTGACAACTCCGTTAGCTACTGTACTAAGGCATTAATCTGTTCGCGGCGCACGGGCCGAACCCCAACCACCGCAAATGCAATGACCAACATCACAACTTCAACCCGCTACTACACAACCACAATGAGGGCTTTTGGAGCTAAAATTTCAGGAGATCGCGTCCCAGGTGGTGAATTATCCGTT